CGCCATCGCCAGCAACTCATGGCAGCCCAGCTCCAGGTTGAGCTGTTGTTCAGCATCTTAGCTGTAGAGGGCAGTGTCACTGGCCCTCATAAGTGGGATCCGAACCGGGGCCCTCTGGCATCCCAAGCCAGCTCTTAACCATCACGCCACTCGACTGGCCCTACGTATTACTTTTCAAAGTTGACTTGAATTATGGTAGCAATGTGTAGTATGATGTTTGCTCATCTTTTGTATTCATCTTTTGTTATTGGTATATATTGAGTATTACAATTTTAACAGTTTTTTCTTTCTTAAAATGTGTATACATTTTTTTGGCATATATTAGAGCTGAAGGCAAGAAAGCAAGTTTCATTTTCAAAACATTGTGGTCTTCTTATTACCACTCAGGAAGACGTCGATTTCTAGGTGCCTATTACTCACATGTTCACTCTACTTCCCAATATTCCTACAATGCCATATAAAATTAAGATGTAGTCCATTCCTGGAAAGGAAAAGTAACTCTTAATTCTCTTGGTGACCTAATCTACATTTGTGATTAACTTTGATGCCAAATGTCACTATTGTCTCCTGAGGGTTAGTTTACAAAGAAAACCTTCTCCTTCTGGTTTGTCAAATGAGACTCAGTTATGTGTCTGCATAATTTTCCAAGCAATTTCTGGGCTGATTGTAGGTAACAAAGTCACACCTTTCCATCCACAACGGAAACATTAGCAGCTGGTGAGGATTCAGCTGTGGAGGTTGAAGGAAATATGTGAAAACTAGCATCTCTCGGTGACCTCACAATCTCATTCTGCCGATACAATCGATGATGGCGCAGCTTGGAGACCCATGCATCAAACCAGTCCGGAGACTTCACCTAAAACAATGAACAAGGGGAGAAGGTAATGGTGAAACCAATCTCCTGTTCACCACTGATATAGGCAAGTGATTTCCCCTGATAGTGGCAGAGAAACTGTTGAAGAGCAAGTTTACCTTCAAATGATAGATGTGTTCTTCTGTGTCAAGGTCTATTCTCCGAGCTTTCTTTTTAATTGACATGACCGAGAGTCCGACATCGATGCTTCCATGGACCTTCCCTTTTTGAATCTGAAATCAAAAGACTGGTAAATAGGCTGGAAGGATATACTGAAATGAGCTTAATGTGATCTTTAACTTATCTATGGAAAATGAAATACCAAACCTCCTTTACGAAGTGGAAATGGTTAAGGTACTGAGATTAAGGTCCTTAATCTGAGGACAGTTGAAGTTACCGTGACTTTCTACCAATTTCAATAGGTAAGCCTCTTTATCTCTTATTCCTGTTTTTGGCCTAACATATGATGATTTTTCATAATTCTAGATTTCATAATTTATATCCCAAAATGATATCTTTAGTGGTTCCTAAAATAACTATGGTCAATCTTTGACCTACAACCCAGAATATTCCCGAATAACCAGCCAGAAGACAGCTGCTAGGGCAGAACTGGTCAGCTCGGATCAGAGAGCACAGAGCCAGCTCTTCTGTCTGGCTGCCCTCATCTGACCAAGGACACACAGCTGACTCAACTGAAGAGATGGGGTCAAAACTGAAATGTGAGCCCTCTCTTATTTCCTCTATAGCACAGTGATAAGAAGAAGGGCACTTTCCAGTTTTGCATGCAAACAACTACTTTTCATATTAAAGAAAAATAATTTAGAATAATTTTAGTGAGTTGGGGTTCCCAAGGTAAAAGGATGTATGGTATGAAATAGAAATGAAGTTCACAAGGTAGATATTTAAAGGACATCGACAAGAAAACAAAGGTTGCTTTAAATCTCAAAAAGCACACAAAGCATAGTTTATTAAGATGCAGAGAAAAGCCTGTTTGAGTTTTCTCTCCAAGACAGAAAGGGTGACTTTTATTAGTGTATCACTTTTAGGGTTAAGCTTGTTTTAAACAACAGACACCACAATAGTTAAATTTTCATGCACTAGTTAGAGATTTGACAGTAGCTTGAGCCTAAGCACAAAACACACCTTCCATGCAACATGGAAGTTTGGTAGCTTGTTAAATATTACAGGCACAGAAATGCACAAAGCTGGTAACTATAGCACAAGACTTGAACAACTGTGGTGTTCACTCACTTCAAGCAGAATTCTAAATCAATCTTTGAAACATATCTTCTGTGCTACTTACATCAAGTGGTGCCTTTGAATACTTTAACATTCCATTATCCAGGACAAAAAAACGCTGCAAGAACCAAACAACCTGTTACTGTCTGTATTCTGAGTTATATAAAACATTCACAACTGTGGGTTAATGTTGCTTGGCATTTAGTAATCAATATGTTTGATCCTTTTAATGTTTTTGGTTCAGTGCACCTGGGCACCGTCAGACACATTAAATGGTAAGGAAATCTGAGCTCGAGTTCCATATTATTAACCCAGTAGGGTTCCTTTACACATAATCCAATGGAGATGAAATCTTTTCACTATGGTTTTTCTTAATAGGGGTGCAGGTTGAGGGGTGAATCGCAGGACTGGCAGCTAGACTCTCTGAATGAGCCATATTGGGAATTTTTTGTAAGTGAGAAATAAGAATAAGCTGAGTTAGGTCACAGCGATTTTGTGAGGAACTTGAGAATTTTTCACCCTGGAGATAACCTCCTGTATTTCCCTGGATACCATGGAGATTTCCTGAAAATGCTCATGTCTGTTACAGAAGCCAGTGGACTGGATCTATAAATAATGAATGATTTGGAAAGTTTAAGAAGTAGCCTTAGCAATATGCTTGCATCTCCACTTACAAAATGCTTGGATTTCACTATTAGTAAAACAGATAAAAAATTCTTTTTGAACTATATTAAGGGTTAAAAAAGAGACAGGTGTATTTCGGGGCAATTTTTTTATCTCCTCCAAGAAACTCCTGGTCCAGTCCAAATGAATCTAGCCATTTTTGCTCCACATACACTCAGGAACTCTCTGCTGTTGATTTCCTTTCCATGGGCAATTGACAAAAGAACAAACAGCTTCCAGGACCCAATCAAACAATTGGTCCGGTGCCCTCCGCTCGTTTCTACAGAGGCAGGGAGTCTTTCTGTTGCTGGAAAATTACTTTGCTGGGAAGTTTTTTTGTGATTCAGGAACACTTAGCTGCTGAGGTAGCAGGCAGTCAAGCCTGGAAACACCCTGCACAGAACACACACAGAAGGCCCCTGGTAACCCCTTTGTTACAGGTAACCCCTTTGGAACAAGAAAGCACCGGAAGAAAGAATCTCTACAGCTGTAAAACACTTGACTACTCAATTGTCCATAACTTGGGCATTCAAATGGGCTAATGCTTAGGTAAATATCTCCTGGCATTAGAGACCAGGAGAAAAGGCAATGCAAGGGAGATCCTCCTATTTATACAGCAAAATGTTCAAAGGCATGGTCCAGAAAGACTTGCTGTTGAACTCAGCCAGTTTTGCTAATACATGGATTGAGAGTGCTAAATTAAAGTTAGCAATTCGAATCAAATTTGTTTCTTTGACTTTTTTTCCCTATTTTTTCATTTCTATCTATCAAAGAATTTTATCAGGGATAACTGAGGGAATGGTCACGGGGAAAGAGATTAGCAAGGCCATTGATTCGAGGAATTGCAAAGTGGTAAGGTCAGAATGAAAGGCAAAAATTAATTCTAGGAAGGCGTATGGCCACCAGTTGGCCAAAATCTAAGGAAGAGCAAGGGTGGAGAGAGGTACCTGGCATTGGGATAATATTAGAGTGTGTTCAGGGAGGCTGTCAAGGTTTCTGACAAGTGAGAGGAAATAGTAGATAGAATCCTCTTTGCCCTGTTTTTATTCTACCCTCAGAGACAGGGGTTTGGGCAACATCCCCATCTGTTAATGTTTAAATTTTTCCTTTAAATTACAAAAAAAAATATTTCCTCAAGGATGTTATAAACCATGGCCTTCCTGCTTTGGGCCAATGGGCAGCCACAACCTGGTCACTTGGGCCAACAAATCCCTCTGCCCTGAGATGAAATCCATTGGCAGATGTGGAAAGTACATGAACCTGTTCTTCCAGTGATTTCAGAAAAGATGCTGGTGGCCTATCAGAGGGCTGATACTGAAAATGGAGGACACCTTCCTCCTCCTTAGCATCAGAGAATTCTTGCTGCTAGGGCATTATAACAATGTAGTGCAAAATATTTTCTCCATAATTAAAACTGGAAAATGGAAAAAGGATGTGGGGTAGGGAAGAGAGGAAGAAACCATACGCTGTACAGGGTAGTAAACAAACTTACAAAATCAGTGAATTTCCATCTTGAGTTTGTACCAGTATCAATAACTATATGAATTTATCCCAAAAAATTAAACAGAAATTCATGTATAAGGATGTTCATCATGACAGTTAAAAAATTAGACAGCAATAGGGAATTGGTTTAATAATGGTGGGATATATAATATAAATTTATAATATAAATCCATCCAATGGAATACGTGCATGCATTTAAAAACATCTCATATTTTGAATATTTAATAGAAACATATTCACACTAATTTAAGTGAAAAAAGCAGAGTAGACAACAATATGTACAAACTGGATTTTAAATATACAGATAAAATATTTTTCCCTGCATATAGACATTGCAGATCTCAGATTTAAGTAGGTATAACAGGTTGCAGCCCATATGGTTAAAATAAGGCCTTGAAAATTAGTTTTATACATACAACCATACCCTTGGTTTCTTACCTAATGACACCAAAAAGATCCTTTTTATTTACAGTGATGACCTGAAGATGAATATGATGAAAATATTACCTTGTGCCAGCCTTTTAAAGGCCATTTTCTTTTCTTCAGCATAAAGCCTTCATGTTTGTCTGGTCTCTGGACATTTGTTTGGCCTATTTTCAGCCCTTCTATAATTTCCCAGCTGTCAGCTTCCTGAGAGAAAAGAAGAAAAACAAATCATGTGTTTTTGGTGCTAGATGACACACTTAAAACAGATTAAGTAGAAGTTGCTTTTGAAGCACCACTCGACCCACCAGAAGTATGAACAACATTCTGGAACAAATTCGAACATCAGACCCAGCTAAATACTTATAACTGAGGCAAAAACGAGTTTCCAGGTAGACCTGGAAGTCTGTGGGTCCACCAGAGACAAGGTGGAGGTGGAGACGAGGTTGGGTAGACTAGAGCTTCAGTTTCCTGTACTCAGAAGGATTAAAATGCATTTTTCCAGACAGTGAATCTCTGGGCACAGAGGCACTTTAAAGTTTTGAAATAAGGCTGTTTTCATGACAAATGTTCAATTAGCGTGTGGACGTGGCTTTCTGTGCAGAAATGAAAAGGCTGGAGTGGTTTACTTGGCTCATAACCTATTAAGCTGAAGAGCAGCACTGAGGGCATGTTTTGTCTGGCTGAGGCTGCGTACATTTTGGAGTGCACATAAAACGCCCTGCTCGCCAAACACACCGAGAAGTCTGTGCTTTCGAAGACACTCATCTTGAGACAGGCACCCTTGGGAGGCTATGGAAAAAGCGCCAGACTGCGAGGCCAGAAATCTGGAATGCCAGAGTCCATACTATCATCCTCCTTTGTTAAAAAATGGACTAAAACACGGTTTCTTCTTCTAGAAGACATGTTTTGTTCATCTATGGTGTTTACATTTTTTTAATGAGTTGTTAACATTTAAAAATCAGAAGATTTCAGGCTTTAAAAATCTAAATTTCTAGCATTTTGTGAATGCCTGTAAGATCTGGTAACACTGGGTCTGCCCTGAAAGAAGGGTGCCCATCTTTAGTTTGCCACAGTCCCCCCTTGGGCCTGCTTCTGTGGTAGCTGTCTGGCCCTTAGCAACTTCCTAGGTTTTTTGGGTTTTTTTGTTTTTATTTATTTTTTAAATATTTTATTGGGGAATTTGGGGAGGGAACAGCGTTGGGGGGTGGGAGAGGGGAACAGACAAGTTGCTGGCCTTTTTGTTCTTCAGTCTAATTGTGGAGGGCATTGCTTCACTGGCCCATGTTGGTATTAATCATTGCGCTCTTCCCGGCTGAGGCAGATCAGTCACCAGCCATTGGACAGCCATTCACAGAGGCTCACGGCAGCTCATGGCAGCTCATGCTGGCTGCCGGCCGCTCACACTGGCTGCAGCCATTCACGGTAGCTCACGGCAGCCCATTGAAGCCTCACTGCAGCCTACGCCATTGCCAGTGACTCATGACAGCCCAGTACCAGGTCGAGCTGTGGTTCACCATCTTAGCTGTAGAGGGCACAGCATCGCTGGCCCCTGTGGGATCCGAACCGGTGGCCCTGCTGCTCAGAGCTCGCGTTCCCAAAACAACTCTTAACCAGTGAGCCACGTGGCAGGCCCACTTCCTAGGTTTGAACATCTCTGGACCAGGTGATTTGTGAGGGCACGTGCAGCTCTAAAGTAACCATTGCCCTGGCAAACACTCATGTTCCAGATCTCAGCCATGTGAGACAATTTAGAGGTAGGAACAACAAGCTCACATTCCATGCACAAAGGCTTCAATCCTGTTCACAGTGCAGGGAAACATCTCTTAGTGTAACCTACTCCGCTGCCTCAGCTTCACCAAGCTGGCTGAGGCTTCAGTTATCAGGGCAGGCCTCTCCACAGAATGCCGCAGCCCAGACTGACGCGGGGAGGTACCTTCCGAAAGGATATGTTATATCAGAAATCATCCTTAGATCACAGAAAAAAGCCTTCAACAGGAATGGCCAGTGGGTTCCCATTCAGGGCAGGTGGACTTGCTGGCCCAAATGTTTGGGCACTGGCTGCCCAGAACCTGCTGAAGGACTGTGAACCTGACAAGGCCCAGAGGCAAAGGTGCCATAATCACATGCTTATGTTGGCCACGAGGACAGGCAGGTAGAGGGCTGTGTAGTTACTATCCATGCCTCTTGTCCCTTTCTTCTCCTTTCATGCCAGAAGCTGCTTGCTGTATGACCAAGTCAAATCTATGTTTAAGTCCAAATGGGTGGAACTTTCACAGAAAGTTGTTTCCAGGAGGTGTGGCTGCACATTGCTTTATCCGAACATCATGAAGGCTAGGCGATACTCCTGGCTGCTGAAAAGCCCTCCAAAGCCAGCACCTTGCTTCTATCCTACAACAATTCCCCACCCCCTCACAGGAAAAATGGTCTGAGATCATTCTCATTTTTCATCTCCTTGGCCATCTCTGATGGGCGCCGAATGAATGAAATGTATGCCTTACAGAAACACGCCGACCAGTTTTATTTGGCAACATTAAGAACCCTTTAACAGATCTGTAAAATTTTACATTACTAAAACTGTTTTTTTAATTAAAAAAAGGATCTGTAAATTTACCCTTACCTTAAGAAAACAACCCCAACTGTGATTTTCTACTCAAAGGTAATTCTATCAGAAACTGAGATTGATCTCATTAAAGGTGTTAATTAGAGAGATTTAAAAAAAAATGTTTCTGATGAGACAATTTCAGGCTGTATACTATGTTTTTGGGGACAATACACGTGCAGGTGGTATTATCACCCAGAGTACAATGGGGAGTATTTTGATATTCTCATTTTTTAATATTGTATTGCAATTCAACAAGTGAATACTGCTTAGGAATAATGTTAGAATGATAGAAGACAAACTGTAGGTTCTCATACAAAGTCCGGTATCTTTGGCTTTCTACCCTCACTAAAAAAGTAGATAAAAATGATGGATTTCTACTGATTTCTTTTTAAAAGTTTGGTAAATCAAGAAACTAAAAGACTAACTCTCCATATATGTGTAAATACATTCATTAGCACTCTCTCTGTTCTTGGAGAGCTATCAGCTGTACTTAATGACATTTCTATTTTTGGTAGCCCCATCTGTGCATAGCATCTCTAAAAGAAGAACATTTTTATTTTTGGCTAGATCTAAATTTGAAGTCTAGTGTTCATCATTTATTCTCTGTGTGTGTGTTTGTATGTTTGTGTGCGTGTGTGTGTATGATGAATACTCTGAATTACTTGTGAAAATGGGAACATTTAATAAGTATAAATGTGTTTTGAATTTTTTTCTAATTAAACTCAGAATGTAGTAACAGCTTGTCCCTGTGGAGCTATGGCTACTGATTTCTATCACAAGTCTTTTTTTTTTTCTTCTTTGGGAGTTTAACTGAAGAGGAAAGAAAAAGGGATAAGACAGAAAAGGCAAACCGTTAAAATGTATTTCTTAATTATAAGTGAGGCAGCTCTGAACAAATAATTCCATTTGCTCTGATGCAGAATTACTAAACCCAGTGGAAACAAATCAAGAAGAATCCTAGTGTAGTTCTCACAGTTAAATAAGCTGTCAAACTGACAAAGAGGCAAAAGATAAAACCAGAGCAAAGAAGATTCTCCCTACTTCAGTTATAAATGCTGATAATAATGTTACAAATACGGTGTGTACAAATCAAACACCCCATCTCAGTACTCGGCACAACCCATCTTTAAGCTTAAGACCCCAGGTCTATCTTAAGAAACCTACAATTACTTTCTGAAAATTGAAGATTTTTTTTTTCATGATTTCAATTGATATTAATTTTCGCTTAAAAGTCTCCAGTTTTTATAGGTTTACTTATCATAGAAACAGTTAAAAGCCCTAACATGATCACGAGCACCTCAGTACTTAACTTGCATCAGATACACAAACATTTTCATTTTTATAGAGGTTTTAAAAATACTTTTGATCTAACAACAATAACTAAAACCAGAAAGTAACATAATAACATCCCTAGTCTGTTCATTTGAAAAAAAATAGAGGCATTTCCTTTCTCAATGGTCTACTCTGTGTGTGGGTGGATGAGGGATATGTGAAAATGCTTCGGAAGGTGAAAGTACCAAAGAATTTGAACAAATCCTGAGACAGGACAATGTGTATGCCAAACAATGCTCTTTCACCACCAAGCAGTGCCAGGAAACCCATCTTTTCTCACACGGGCTGAGATGGTGAGATGCTGTGTATCTGAAATGGATAGGTCCCTCTGATTTCATGGGGCTTCAAAAGTTGTGGTATTTATTAACACAAAACACCACATGAGTATTAGTTCTCCAGGAAGACGCAAGCAGACAGCAGCATGGAGGGGTAAGGGGACCTGGATGCCTGTTGGTGCCCTACCCAGAACCTGTATCAGGCCAGGGGACCCACACCCCAGCTGCCTTGAGCACTGGGAACTCTAAGGCTAATGGGGGATCATTGTTTTCACCAAGCTGGGGGTTCACAGCTGGGAATTTAATTATGCTGCATCTCTCTCCCTCATGGCTTTCAACAACTGAAGGACACAGGTACAAACGGCTAAGGGAACAAAAAGTCCTCTCCTCAGGGTGAGACCAGCTCTGTGGTATAACTCATGCTCCAGAAATCAGGCTGTGGGGGCCCAGCTGCCAGGGACCCCCAGGGTCAGGAAGTGTTTGCAGGCTTTGGAGACTGGCAGCCCTGACTCCCCCAAGCCCAGGTGGGACTGCAAGGAAAAGATCTTGTTTATGTGAGTTGCTCTTAGTGCGCATGTGTGCTGGTACCATGACATTATTGTTACTGAGTTATAAAAACTCCAATTCTGCTTAACGGGGTTGGGTTCTGTGTTGTTCTGGCTTCTGCTGCTGGATTCTGAGTTCTGCTTTGCTGCTGCTGCTGTTTAACTGAATTCTGTTGCTGTTCTGCCTTTGCTAAATAAAAAGTGTTGCTGCATTCATGACAAAGACTCTACAAGGCTTTTTTATGTTAGGGTACCTTACCGCCAAAACCGTCCCTGCTTGAAACACTCGGACCCGACACAGGCTGACAGTGGACTCCAGCTGAAACCCCTTCTTGCTTAGCACCATATCCGCCCTGACCTTTCCCCTCATTCCCTTTCTCCTGAGGGCTCTCCCTCAATAAATCACAAGCATCCTAAGCCCGGACTCGGGTTGTCCTCCCAGGGAATCAGACATAAGAGAGAATGTGAAATGGAGTAACGAATGTGGTGACATACAGAGACAAGATACACAAGACAGTCTGGGGCTGAGGGTGGACTGGGTAAGCAGATGATGAGCAGAATTTGAAAAAGGGTTCAAGTGGGTCTACCTTAAGAGAGGAGCCAGAGTTTTCGTGAAGGAAGAGGAGGGGAGACGGGAGCAAGGCCAGGGCCATTGCCAGGGCCTGTGTGCAGGGGGGGGGGGGGGGATGTCGCCGGATAGAAAGTGACATCCAAAGAGGCTAGAAAGATAGCTGGCAGGAGAGGAGGGGCCAGATCAAGTGTTTTGTGTGTGTTGCTCTCTATTAGTTGTTTTAATACCAGCGCCTCTTCTCTGTTTCTGTGTCTCATTCTCCAAGTCTTCCTTTCTTTGAGGATCTCTCCCTGTCATGGTCTGTGTCCCTCTGTTCTAACGGTCACACACTTCCCAGCTATTTGACTCTGGACAACTTACTTACACTCCAAGTTGCTGTTTCCTTATCAATAAAACGAGAATAGTATCAGTGCTAACTTCATTGAGTTAGGGGCTGATTAAATGAGAGAATATATGCACTAACCCAGTGCTGGCACAAAGTGGGTGCTCGATAAATGTCAGCTACTGTTTCCACTGCCCCTATATTTATTTATTCTCTCTCCTTTAGCTGCCTATCAGAGAGAACTGATGTTTCAAAGAGATTACTAGTTATATTTACTGAGTAGACATTCTCTATTTGTGACTCAAATAGAAATCAGATCATTTTTATTTCTCTGCAAGTTACTTTTTACATTATAGTTTAATAATTCCCCCTTTCATTATTTTAGCAGTCTATAAACTTTGATAGAATAAAGTTTATAGCTTGTACTATCTTCAAAGGATAAAGAGGTACAATGTATATATTCCACAACACTAGGGTAGTAGAGTGTTTGTTCTATTCTTAAAGGATTCTGTTTAATAAAGGACAAGCACAGTGGAAGGATCAGTTATATATATTTAGAAGTTAACCTTTTTTGGAAATGAAGTACTATTTTTGTATTTGAATTCAAAATCCCCAGACATTCTATTTTCTGAGTATCTCGATAAGGGAACCAGCCCACTAAACATCTCAGAAGTTTGAGCTAGGGGTGGGGATGTAGTATGGAATCTCCTTGACTTTTCTTTATGATTTTTGCATTTTAGACATAAATGAATGTAGATGTTTCCCTAGTTGGAGGAAGAGATGGCTGAAGAAGAGGGAACACTGGCTTCCATGAGACAGAAAAGACCTTAATCAATAATCTGTGTTTCCCTCAGAACTCACTGCTAGGAAGGCCAATTGAAAGGAGGCTGGAACTCTGAATGTTCAACAGCCCTTCTGGGTAGGTACTACTCTATCTGCAGGTGGGGTAGACCTTAAAACAGTTTAAGTTTGAATCCCTGCTCTGCTGCTTAGCAGTTTTCTTTTACTTTTTCTAAGTTACAAACTCTTGGTTTCCATATTGTAAAATGTAATGCTGACACTGCATGGAGCTGTTCATAAGGGTTATAAATGGGATGATGTATTAATATTTAAGCAATCAGCATAGTGCATGGGTAATAATGGCAACTGTTGTTATTGTTGTTATTATTACTGGACCCAGTTCTCCTTTTTTTTTTTTTCCCTATTAGCTTGGTATAGTAATATTTTCTCATCTATCCAACAGGGAATGACAATAGTCTCTCTTGCCCTTTTTCCTTAACATAAAGAGAACGTTAGACTTCTGTATGTTGCCCTGCAAATCCCAGCAAAATATACTTTCATCTCTTCTCTCCTTACACAGGGCAGAGAAACCCTACATATTGGAGGCAGAAAGAAGTGTAAGAGCAGCCCTACCAGGGCATCACAGCAACGTTAGGGGAGTCAGTGTAAGAGTTATTTACAGTTCATCAGGCACAGAGCAGGTATCACGTCATCTGAGAAAGCACCACATTCCGTCACTGACCTTGGAGAGGTGGACCGGTTCCGGTTCTAGCAACTGTCGACTTACAGAGGGTTCGGTGCTGGAGGAAGCAGTCCTCTCCAGTACATGGACACTCTGAAAGTAAACGCAAATACAGCCCAGGGTGAGACAACGCATTTCTCATGGGGATGAGATCACACAGAGCACACTAGAAACAGTGAGCTATGTTGAAAATGGCAAGTTCCTGAGGAGGCCAAAGGCAGCAGCAACAGTCAGAAAACTGTCAACACAGGATTTTGTTGTCCCCTCTTATCAATCTGCTGCTGAGGGGCTGCTGCAATGCTGGTGTCAGGCTTAGAGAAGGAGTCAGAGCTCACACAAGTTAAAAAATAACACAGAATATGTCTCAACATTTTTACAGCTTTATGAGAGCAGTACTCTACTACTTAGACAATTAGCCTTACATAAAAATATTTGCTCACCTTTCCAATGCCAACAGAAAGTTCTATGTCAAAAATCCCAGAGCCTTAATACCATTTAGTCTCTAGTTTCTTATAATCCTTATAAGATAATTACGTTATAATTATTATAATTATAGAATCTTAAAATAATTCTTCGGTCCAAAGAGAAGAAAACAATCCATCAAGTAAAATAAACAGTAGATATCTTTACAAAGACTATAAACAGCAGTCATAGATCAGCAAGATAACATTCTAACAGAAAAATAGGCAAAGTATATGAACAAGCAACTCACGCAGAACATTTGAAAAGATGTTCACCTCAACCTCAGAAATAGTCAAAGAAATAAAAACCAAAATAACAATGATTTCTGTTTAACCATCAGATTCAAGAATGGATTAGGGTTGTGGAAAAGGGAGTATAAATTGGGTATGATCGATCTAAAGTGAAATTTTGCAATTTTATTAAAAAGTCTTTGGAAAAAGAAGTACATGCCTCTTTGACCCAGCAATCCTAGAGCTAAGTCTTTACCCTAAGGAAATAATCAGATAGGTATGCAAAAATGTAAGAACAGATATGTTTACTAAAGCACTATTTATTATAGTAGAAAGTAATACATATGAGACAAGAACAAATTTATAAGGAAATACCATGCAGTATTAAAACTGACAATATGGATCCATGTATATTGACATGCAAAAATTACCCATGATGTTCTGTTAACTAAAAAAATCAGGCTAGGGCTGCCCGAGTGGCACATTGGTTAAGAGGTGGCTTGGGACACCAGCTCTGAGCAGCAAGGCCCCAGTTCGGATCCTACATGAGAGCCAGTGACACTGCGCCCTCTACAGCTAAGATGGTGAACAACAGCTCGACCTCGAGCTGGGCTGCTGTGAGTCGCCAGCAACAGCATAGGCTGCAGTGGGGCTGGCCAGCAGTTGGCGTGAGCTTTTGTGAGCTGCCGTGAGCAGCCGTCCAGAGGCCGGCAACCAATCTGCCTCTGCTAGGAAGAGTGCAACATGGGCCAGTGAAGCGACATCCTCCACAACTAGACTGAAGAACAAAAGGACAGCAACTTGTCTGTTCCCCTTCCCCCGATTCCCCAGTGCTGTTCCCTCCCCCAATTCCCCAAAAAAATCTTTAAAAAAAAATTTTAAAAAAAAATCAGGCTATGAAAAGTACATAGAATATGATGCTGTCACACATATACTCAAATTATACTTCAGAATGTTAACTGTAGCTATCAAAAGTTGTGAGATTATAGGCAATTTTTAATTTTTTCTTAATATTTTTCTAATTTTGAATGCAATAAGTAGATATTACTAGTATATTTGGGAAAAAATCAGAAATAACTCAGTGTAATTAATTCAGATATAGCCTGAAATGAAATATAAAGTTTTTACTTTAGTTATAACATCTCATTTTTCAATAGACAGGTTTGTATTTTATTTACTTATCAAGATCTCTATTTTTGATATCTCATTGGGAAACCATCAGGTCAATATTTGCTCTTTCATGAAGAAAATTACACTTTGACCTGAGCCAATTATTCAATTTTTTTGGTAAGTTTTAAAGCTTTTGTTTATTTCTATTACCTTGAAAAAATAGGGTCTGATCATAGATTTTAAAAGTCCTAATGAATGCATTTTTAAGCTAGTTATTAAGAAGAGAATAATTGAAGTGAAATATTTATGAATTGTTCCTATTTTTCCAATTCATGAGAGAATAGAAGAAATAAGAAGAGATATTTTGGGACCAAATATAAAGTCAGGAAGTAGTTAGTTAAAATTCCTAATCTGACAGCTATAGTGTCCAAGGACAATTTAAGTGTTAACTGTTCTTTCCATTCCCATATGTACTTGAATTCACAGAGAAAAATGATATGTGGCTGAGTGTCCACAACTGTCCCAGCACCTTCTCTGGAAAAGTCAAAAGCAAAGGTGTATGGAGTGAAAAGCTGGAGGTATGTGTTCAGATCTTTAACAGACAAAAAGGGAACACAGGCCCTGGGACCGGCATTATTTGCTTACTCACATTGATATTTTGGATTGCATTGTGTTTAAAATATATCAGCTAAATTTTAAAGTTAGATTTATTCTGAGATTATATAATTAGAAACTAAAATGAGAATTTTTGTTATTATTGAAAAAAATTTTATTACCTTCTTTTGGGACATAATCATCTGTCCCCCCCCACACCCTTTCATTTTCTTTTTTTTTTTCTGTGTGTTTTTTAAATATACAAAATTTAAATACAACATAGACATACATAACACAAAAAGTCAAAGTCCCCACCCCAGTGCTACTCCCCCTCCCATCCCACTAGCTGTGGAGCAGTGGTTCTCAATAGGTGGTCCAAGGCCCTTTCAGGGGGCCTATGAGATGAAAACTGTATTCACATAATACCAAGATACTGTCTGCCTTTTTTACTTGCATTTTCTCACTAGTGTCCAGTAGAGTCTTCCAGAGGATACATAACATGCTATATTGAAACATATTAAACAGAAGCAAATGTAAGAATCCAGTTTTCTACTAAGTCAGACATCAGAGAGATTTGCAATACCATTTTTCTCACTAAAACTTGTTTTGGAAACATATTTTAAAATAAAAAATATATTTTAGGCTAACATGTGATGGGTCTATTGTTATTTTTAAATAAATATTTTTAAAGTCTATTCATTTTAATTTCTAATACAGTAAATATAGATATAACCCACATAACAAAAGCTCTTTGAAGTCTTCAGTAATTTTTAAGAGTGTAAAGAGTTCCTATAACCAAAAATTTGAGACTCACTGTTCTAAAAGAACTATTAAAATACTGTATTTATGATTAAAATGGAGAATTCTGACTTGCATATAAGTTATTCCCTGTCTCTTAATGTTTCTTTTGAGGAAAAGCATTGTTTTTTTAAAAAACTAACACATTTTAAAATTTCTTTAAACTGACTTAATCCACCTTAAGCTAAATTATATAAACCTATTCATTAATAACCCCCAACAATCTTGACACATTACACAAACCTGTAAGAGGAACATAAACCTTGTTTCATATACTCTTTAAATACATCTGAGCAAAACTTTCTTAAATGTAAATTCTATGAAGATTAAAATACCATAAAAGTATTTTTCAAATGCATGAGTTGATTTTTCTAAAAAAGAACCATGAGCAGTAAAGATACACAGGTGTCAGTGTGTTACAGAGATATAAAATGCTTTCATCTTGCCCATAACAGATAAGTAACTTCCTAATTTGAGATATATTGCTACAAGAAAAAAAATCTACCAAGATACGATTTTTAAAAATCAAGAATTAGAATCATTTAGAAATCACACATTATAGTACCATTCTTCCCTCACTATATAATAGTATATCAAACAAAAGTTCTGTAAAGTATATATAATTAAGTAGAAGATCAGAAAGTGCCAATGAAATGTGTCAGTCATTCATTCATTCACTTATGTGTTGGTTCAATTAATCAACAAAGCATTGTTGGGCACTGGTACTGTTCTGGGCAGAGATGATAGTGTGTCAGAGAACAAAACTGACAAGAGAATTTCTCCTGTGATTCTTATATTCTAGAGCAGCGGTTCTCAACCTTCCTAATGCCGCGACCCCTTAATACAGTTCCTCATGTTGTGGGGACCCCCAACCATAAAATTATTTTCGTTGCTACTCTATAACTGTAATTTTGCTACTGTTATGAATCATAATGTAAATATCTTTTTGTTTTCCGATGGTCTTAGGCGACCCCTGTGAAAGGGTTGTTCGACCACCAAAGGGGTCGCGACCCACAGATTGAGAACCGCTGTTCTAGAGAGAGGTCTTATTATACAAAAAAACAAATAAGGCTGAACAAATTTTTGTAAACATGCATTCATCCTTTTCCATGTGGCTACTGCTTAATATCTTTGGCCTGAGCTTCTCTTTCAGGACCCTCCCCTGTCCTAATACAGGTTGCTGGGCAACGAAACACACATACATGCCTCTTCATCCCCCACCCCTCACCCCACCCCCACCTTTGCCTCTGACAAATAAACATGATAAGAAAAGCAAAACTTGGAAAGAAACTTCACCTCGCCAACTATGTAAACAGAAAGTAAAGGATTTATTCAGGAACTTGGCCAGGGAAAAGAAACTAAATCCCCTAATTTCCGAATCAAGCCACAGGCATAGAAATCAATTTATGATATTTAAAATGTGATTAAAGTGAGTTTTGTCTCTATAGATACCAGGCGATACTTAAATGTTGCTAGGATGTTGTGGATCAGGAGGGTTAGAAACCAAACAAACTGACAGAATCTATAAATTACCTGCCCCAGTACCTGTCACAAAGAACATAATAGTTTCTTCTCCACCTGATTTTACAAAACAGTATATTATAGAAGTAAAGTAAGAGGTTCATTCATGTCAAACATAGTACAATATAGTACACATTCAAGCTGAGTGAAAAATCCAAGCCCCAAATTCTTTTGATTTGCCAAGGCACAGAGAATCATGAAAATGTTTACTAAGAAACGGTAAGTAAATGAATATTTTTATTATCATTAATGTATGTACATATTTTACTGAAAAATTAAAGCATAATTTATAAAACTGCCACCTGATACCCATTATTATAAATGTAACTAGCTTCAAGAAATAAGCTATTTCATTTAACCTCCAGAATGATAACAAAG